CGAAATTATAATAATGAAGATGCATAATTGATTTTTTTAACGATTCTTAAAAAAAGAAAGGATTCTCGTTTTATGAAGAATTTTTACCTTGCAGATAGGTAGAACCTGTTCAAAATTTGTTAATTTAAAATTCTCAGAAACGAGACAGGTCAATTCTCAAGACACAAGGATCTTCGTAGTGATTGAATGTTTGCTGGGTACTGGATGAAATATACATATACTTTTAATTAACATTTAACCGAAATGTAATTATTGTAAACGGTATGTAATAGATCAATAATCAATAATAAGAATAAGAAGTGTTATTAGCTCGCTTCGCTCACTTACACGTGTCCGCGTTGTTTTTAAACTGTTGTGGTTAGTTGGGGAAGGACCTTTTCTTTTTGTTTATCATTACGTCACAGTCTCCTTTATATTTATTTCAAAAGTGTTATTCTTAAGGATTATTAAAAAGCACGACAGGGGGTCAGAATACAAGAATTGAAAAAATTGACAGAATGTTTTCTAATACATATGCGGGTTGCATTTGTTTACCTGTCGAAATATTTAAAAATGTATGTTTTGTCGGCTATCCAGCTAACATTCAATACGAAGATTTAAATGTACGCCACTGCGTTCATGCGCGAAAGCATAGGCAGACCCTTCTGTTCAGAGGATTGACCTGTCTTTTCGAGTAAAAATTATTCTTTTTAATTTCACGCTACCGAATTACGACCAAATTAGCTCCATAAATTCTTCTAAAATATTACCGGAAATGATCCGTTTGCAGGACTAAACCGCCGATTATGTACGAATGGAGTACTGAAACAGTACCGCATTTAGTACGAAAAGAACACGCATACACCATCAGAAAGCTACTGAAATACCACCGAAAGAGCGACGCATTTATACTAAAAAAGCGCCGAAACGGCACTAAAGGGATACTAAATTTTGAATGTATATATACAATGTAAATTATAACTATCTTTTAAAGAACGGAAAATAAGCCAAGAGTTTCCGAAACTAATATAATTAGTTTTTCAAAAATTTCTGCAAAGTACAGGTCTGACGAAGGAAGCTGGCGAGCGGTCGCGCAGGCACTTGCCCATTTATGACCTACTTGGGTAAGTTACTTGGAACCGATACACAAATAAGCTTTCAGTAGGCGTAAATTATAGTATTAATACAGATAGGACAGTAAGTACTAGAAATTAATGTAAAAACATGACTTATCAAAAAGAAAAAATAAACCTATTGTTTTTGTTTTATAGTTAGTTTTCGCATTCATTCTCATCATGGGAATCTCTATCACTGTCACCAACATCAGCAATTAGTTCTGCTGTTTGTCTGTCTATTACTTGCTCACTCATCCCTATTTTTAAATAATTAGTCTACGCCCCTGATAGGAATACTGAAGAATGAGGGCTGCAATCTTTATACCTAAAACTGCCTACTTTTGCCACCGCGCATCCACGCCATTTTAAAATTTCCGCCAGCTTCCAGCGTCAGGCCTGTATGTCTCTGATACCTAGTAAAAATGAACGTATGTAATCACAGATGAACATGTAATTCTTTTTTCAAAGAAATAATCATCTGTAAGTGTATATATGTGTTAACATTAATTAATTACAATCTAAATATCAGATGGATAAATTGGTATTAATTAATCAATATTTTCATTTTTATGTACAGTACGTTTTGGTGCTGTTTTAGATGATTTTGTATGTGATGCTGTTTTGGTGCTATTATAGTATAGTTTTCTGGTGAGTCGCTGTTTAAGAGCCTTTCAGATCTTTTTTAATGTGGTGCTAGTTTGGAGCTGTTTTAGAGTTTCAAAAAAAAACAAATTTTGAACAAGCTCTACATAATTAGATATAAAAATAAAAATTTCAACTCATCTTTTTCATGTTGCAGTTATCCAACATTTTCCAATTTGCAAGGAAGTCCTCCAATTCCAAAACAGTATTCATAACAACGCATTTATTAAATGCTGAGGCGCTGTTAGTCTCGCTTGACTATATTTTTCCTGAAAAATAGATAGAAACAAATCCGTGAATTGGCATAAATTGTTACAATATGTACGTAACTGTATTTCTTGTGTCATCAAAAAGACTATACTTTTACATTAATATAGTTCCACAGAAATGAAATTGTTAATAAAAACGAACTGTCCATAATTATTTTAAATTAGGTTGATTTCTTCGTAATAATATTAATTACTTATTTCAATTGAAATTTATGATTCGCATTAATCATCGATGAGATTATCAAACTTTTTCTTATTTTGCAGCAGTCCGTCTCATAATTACCTTGCATTTTCCTAATATCATTATAAAACAGAAAATACACTCTTCTAAATCAAGCAAATGATAAGCACAACATTTACTAATTTTTCTATTAAATAAATAATACGTTCAAATCAAACAAAACTGTTAACAATTTTAAGCACCTTTAGGAAAATGTAGACAAAAAGCAGAGATGAAAATCATAAACAATATTTGGCGAGTCTCACAAATAGACACATTTACAGAGTGTGTTTGAAAATGAGTCGTCTATAAAAAATTATCACATACGAAATTTCACAGAACAAATCAAAATCCAGATTAAACACGTTCATCGTTATAAGGGCCCACATCCAATATTCCGCTACAGAATTATAGCTATCGAATCATTTGGCCTAGTTTTATCATTGAAATAGAGAAATAAATATTAATGAGAACATATCCGACGAACTATTAGAGATAGCGCAAAAATTCTTGCACCAATGGATGGCCCGCATCGTCGCGAACAGGAAAAACTTAATTTCGAAAGAAAATAAAATATTAAAAATTTTGAAAATTTTGAATTTTGGATCGGCACAGATTTCGACCGCACATGTCCTATAATGTTCGCACTGAGCCGGGGCATCCGTCTGTGAAAGAATTTTTCCGATAAGTCCTACCGTTCTCCAGCTACGGGCTTCGAAAGGTCAAATTTGAAAATTTTGCGCTCACGAGCATGGGCGCGTTTGAAAATTCATAGCTCCGCAGCATGACGTCTGATACAGACCAAACTTGGCTCGTTTGAAGCCCAAAAAGGGTGAGAAGTTTTTGACAAAAAAAGTTCCGAACTGTCACATTCCTGGTCTGCGCCAGAGACGATGAAATTCAAGCAATTTGCCCTATTTTCATTTTTAGCGTTTTTCTGAGTCC